CGCTGGTCCTAGGAGTTCTTAGCACGGCGACTTCCCGACTGTCTACTACAACAATGTTTGCCCGGCTCCGACGAGGGATGGGTGATGACGGTGGCGCAGCTTCAGCTCGCTCCAGTGATTGTAGCCGTCGCTAGGTGGTCTACGGACCTGGATGTAAATTTTACTCCTAATGTTCTTTGTACTACGTTGGCAATTGATGAAGATCGAAAGTTTTTTCAAAAAAAATCAGATCTTTTTTTAAAAAAGTGTCACTTAGTTCATGTGAGACATGTGGTAAGCAATTAAAACAATTCAAAAAAAAGTGTCACTTAGTTCTTTCTGCTGTATGGAAATTTAGGGAAAGATATTATCCATCAAAGCAACCGGACGACCTCGGCCAGTGGAGAGGAGGGGAACAGGTGGACGTCCATGGACGCCACGGCGGATCCCCTGCTGCCCCAGCCGGCAGCCGCCGTGGACCACCTCGGCCGCCCAGTCTCCCGCCTCACCTCCGGCCGGTGGCCCGCCGCGTTCTTCATCATCGGTACCGCGAAGCACCAGCAAGGCAATCAATCAGCCATGCCCTCCCAGCCTCGATCCTCTTTGACCCGCTTGCCGTCGGTATCGCAGGCGTGGAGATCTCGGAGCGGTTCGCCTACACCGGCATCTCAGGGAACCTCATCGCCTACCTCACCGGACCGCTAGGGCAGTCCACGGCGTCGGCCGCCGCGACCATCAACGCCTGGAACGGCGTCGCGCTCCTGCTGCCGCTGCTCGGCGTGGCCGCCGTCGCCGATTCCTGGCTCGGCCGTTACCGGACCGTAGTCTGCGCCTCTCTGCTCTACATCCTGGTATGTGTGCCATACTGATGTGCTCTGGTCTCACGTGGTCGCAGCGAGTAGCGTGCGGTCTGGATCATCCAGCTGCTGATTGAGGCCGAGCACCTGATACTTGGTACTTTTGGATGATTTAAAATCTGGAAAAGTTAAAGCTATAGTTGACATTGACTTTGCCAATTGTAAGTCGAACCTTTTTGCCGGTGCTAATTTGGCATACAGAATAGATATCGCAAAAAGAAACGTCTGGAGTTCTGGAATAGAGTACGTAGCCTGGTACAAGAATGGATCTCTTGGGACTCTACACTCCTTCAAAGAATTCGTGCGCAATCTCATAAAACATAGGAGCGCATTCTAGTGAGCGTGTTACTAAGAGTGATGGTCTTGTGGTCTGCTTCACAAACTAGCAAGAAGAAGAAGGCCTCCTAAAAAGCTGTTGTTGAACCAGCTTAGAAGATGTACAAAAAGTAATGAAGTGCAGGGCGAGTTTGGGTATGCAGAGTTGCGGGCTCATGATCAAGTGCAGATTATGCTGTAACAGTTCTCTAGCAAATCTTGTTTTTGGTGTATGGCCTTTATCTTTGCCTTGGATTCCCCAGTTATATAATAAGTGGCATTAAGAAGTCTCTCATGGCCTGGCTTCCATTTGTGTTGCTTTTTTCCTTACCTGCCATCATTGAGCCGGCCTGGTCTCTCTCAAGCCTGCACTTTATTGATCCAGCACTGTTTTTCCTGATCCCCAGCGTACGGTTTGGGTGGTTTAGTGCCTCCTCCTTTTCCCCCATGGCTAAATAAATAGCATTGGAATATCTTAGATTGGAACATTAGAGGTAAAAATTCCAGTGATAAATGGGTGCATATTTACAATAAAAGTTAGGAATCTGGTTGCTCCTTTTTTTTCACTCCATTATTTGCTTCCAGGAAACTAAGAAAGAGTTTATGGAACTAGAATTCCTTAGGAATTTTTGTCCTAGAAAATTTGCTTTGGCAACTAGACTGAGTTACGTATGCCAAGTCCAATACCATTCCCATCACTATATCTGGTGACAGGGTCCTTGCCATTCACTTACCTTGGCCTCTCCTTGAGCACCACCAAACCCAGGAAGGAGTTCTCTATGCCTCCTTAGTTGTGCTCACCATCTAAGCTATGGAAGTAAACTTCAAGTTGTGAACTCTGTGCTTTCATCTCTACTTATATTTCATCTCAGGTCCCTAAAAACTACCAATGGGTTATTGATGAGCTGGATAAGTACATGAGGCATTGCTTATGGAGGCATGAGGATCTCCCAAAGAAAAATCCACCTCTTGCTGCCTGGTATCTTGTTTGTAAGCCAAAGAGCCAAGGAGGGCTAGCTGTCCCGAACCCGAGGGTGCAAAATGGTTGTCTACTGATCAAACACCTTCACAAATTCATTAACAGAACGGCCTCCTCAAAAAAATGGATATTTAGAACATAATTGCAGACCTAAGGCAGATAATTCAGCTACCATTTGCCATGGAAATTATCATGTTGATCAGTTGGGCAATCTGGATTACTAACAACTTTATTTTCAACAGAATTTCACCAATCCTCTATAGATGCAGGTTCAAGTTCAAAGCAGAAATATCCCTGTTAGCACATAGAGCCAGGAAGAAATCCCTTTCAGGTCTTCAATCCTGGGTTGAAGCCTTTTGTAATCTGTGTTTTTAGAGGCC